AGTGCCGCTGCTAATTTGACAAGAGGTGGAGCTCAGGCAGTAATGCAAACAATGGAGAGCGGCTATAAATACAGATGAAGCTTTGCTCACTGGCTGGCTTGTTTGCTTGTCCACTGCTTACCTCCTGCTGTGTGGTCCGGTTCCTAATAGACCATTGACTGGTACTGGGCTGTGGCCCTGGCGTTGCGGACCCATGGATTACAGCAATCAGAAGATAAAAAAAAAAATCTGATTAAAGAAATAAATTTCCAAGGATTAAAAAATGCACATAAAGATGGATTAATGATATAAAACATAAAGACATATGGAAGGTAAAAGAATAAATGATATAAGACATTATTCAGTGAAATTCAGGAAGAACTAGAGGATTAAGACATTAAGGTAGAAAAAATAAAGGAATAATGGAAGAAAAATCTCTCAGCTAAAGAAAGGTATGAGTCTTCAGATGAAAGAGCCTACCAGTTACCAAGTCAGATAACTGTAAAGAGAACTAAGAATAAGGAGAAATATTTTAAAAGCTTTCAAAATAAAAACACAGCTAATGTGGCTCATTAGCAGTAGTGGTCAAAGGAGCAGTATTTTCAGAGGTAAGAGGAAAATTATTTAGAACCAAGAATTCTGTACCTAATAAAACTAGCTTTCAAGCACGAGGTTAACATAAAGGTATGTTTGAACATGTGATGATCTAGTTTACCATCCTCGGAAAGGCTAAACACTAAATAGTAACAATAATTACTTGTTGGGTAAATCAAATCCTTTATGATTATATAGTGAAAGTGACAAATAGATTCAAGGGATTAGATCTGATAGAATGCCTGAAGAACTATGGATGAAGGTTCATGACATTGTACAGGAGGCAGTGATCAAGACCATCGCCAAGAAAAAGAAGTGCAAAAAGGCAAAATGGTTGTCTGCAGAGGCCTTACAAATAGCTGAGTAAAGAAGAGAAGCTAAAGGCAAAGGAGAAAGGGAAAGCTATACCCATTTGAATGCACAGTTCCAAAGAATAGCAAGGAGAGATAAGAAAGCCTTCCTCAGTGATCAATGCAAAGAAATAGAGGAAAACAATAGAATGGACAATGCCAAAGAATGTTCAAATGACCACACAATTGCACTCCTCTCCCACGCTAACAAAGTAATGCTCAAAATTCTCCAAGCCAGGCTTCAACAGTACATGAACTGTGAACTCCCAGACGTTCAAGCTGGATTTAGAAAAGTCAGAGGAACCAGAGATCAAATTGCCAACTTCCATTGGATCATCAAAAAAGCAAGAGAGTTCCAGAAAAACATCTACTTTATTGACTAGACCAAAGCTTTTAACTATATAGATCACAGCAAACTGTGGAAAATTCTTCAAGAGATGGGACTACCAAACCACCTTATCTGTCTCCTGAGAAACCTGTATGCAGGTCAAGAAGCAACAGTTACAACTGGACATGGAACTACAGACTGGTTCCAAATTGGGAAAGGAGCATGTCAAGGCTATATATTGTCACCCTGCTCATTTAGCTTATATGCAGAGTACATCATGCAAAATGCTAGGCTGGATGAAGCACAAGCTGGAATCAAGATTGCCGGGAGAAATACCAATAACCTCAGATATGCAGATGACACCACCCTTATGGCAGAAAGTGGAGAACTAAAGAGCCTCTTGATGAAAGTGAAAGAAGAGAGTGAAAAAGTTGGCTTTAAACTCAACATTCAGAAAACTAAGACCATGGCATCTGGTCCCATCACTTCGTGGCAAATATATGGGGAAACAGTGTAAACATTGGCAGACTTTATTTTGGGGGGCTCCAAAATAACTATAGATGGTGACTTCAGCCATGAAATTAAAAGACGATTACTCCTTGGTAGAAAACCTATGACCAACCTAGGCAGCATATTAAAAAGCAGAGACATTACTTTGCTTAACAAAGGTCCGTCTAGTCCAAGCTATGGTTTCTCCAGTAGTTGTGTATGGATGTGAGAGTTGAACCATAAAGAAAGCTTAGCATGGAAGAATTGATGCTTTTGAACTGTGGAACTGGGGAAGACTCTTGAGAGTCCCTTGGATTGGAAGGAGATCCAACCAGTCCATCCTAACTGAAATCAGTCCTGAATATTCGTTGGAAGGATTGATGCTGAAGATGAAACTCTAGTACTTTGGCCGCCTGATGCAAAGAACTGACTCATTTGAAAAGATCCTAATGCAGGGAAAGATTGAAGGCAGGAGGAGAAGGGGACAACAGAGGAGGAGATGGTTGGATGGCATCACTGACTCAATGGATATGAGTTTGAGTAAGCTCCAGGAGTTGGTGATGGACAGGGAACCCTGGCATGCTGCAGTCCATGGGGTTGCAAAGCCTTGGACACGACTGAATGACTAAACTGAACTGACCTGTTGGGTTGATGGTAATTAAGAATATTCACTTAAAAATTCTTTTTACCCAAGCATTAGATTGAAAAATCAGTTATGACTGAAATGCTAGTAACTAATAGTTGTCATTCTGGGGTTTTCCTTCACTGTTGTCTTTGAAATTTCTTTGCATTTCTGTGTTGGAATTTCTATTTCACTTGCAGTGCTTCCTCGTTTTTAGTTTGCTTCCTAGTTTGGTGGATCCCATCTTCCAGTAGCTTTGAGAAAGTAGGTGGGAAGTAAATACTTACTATCATTCAGGTCTCAAAATGGAGCACCTCTGTTCTGCCTCCCATTTGATTGATATTTGGCTGAATATGGAATTCTTGCTTTAAAATAATTTTCCACCAGAATTTGGGAAGCATTGCAGTTTTGTCATCTAGTTTTCAGCATTAGCTATTCAATTTCTAAGGTGTTTTATTCCTGCCTCTTTGTACCTGACCTGTTTTTTATATGTTTTTCACTTGGGAGGCTTGTGACATTTTTTGTCACCATCACTTTGAAATTTCATAATTTCATCTTTATATTCACCTATTTATTTCATGAGCTTTGTGAACTCTTTCAACCTGGAAACTCAAGCTTTCAATTTTAGGAAATTTGCCTGAGTTGTTGATGATTTCATCCCCTCTTTTCTTTGTTTTCTCTTTTTGGAGCTCCTGTTTTTTTTTTTTAAGACTTGCTGGACTAATTCTCTGATTTTTTTAAAACATTTACTCTATTTTTCTTGCCTTAATTTTGCAGCATAGATGTGTAGATTGGTTTTCAAATTTGCCTACCAACAACTTGAGATTTGGTTTTCTTAACAGTTACTTCTCATCTATTTGTCTTTGCCTCCTTTGCTAATCCTGCCTCCTTTCCTGTTTTCCCCAACCTTCTGGGTTTAATGGCTTTAACAGGCCATTATTTATATAGTTCTAATGAGATTTTAAGAAATAGATGCCTATGTTCAATCTGCCATCTTTATCAGGCATTCCTGAGGAATTTTTGCTGTTAACTCCTTACATATCTGTATTATATAAAATGTAAGATAAGAACCTGCTGGTTAACTTAAAATTTTTTACTTTTAAAAGGTAGCATTATTGACTGTTATTTATGTACCGTAAAATTCATCCATACTAGTTGAACTGTACAATTCAATGATTGTATTAAATTTATAGACTTGTGCAGCTGTCTCTATAATCTATTTTTGGAATATTCCCATCACCACAAAGAGTTCCTTAGTATTCTTTTACAGTTCATTCAAACTCCCATGTCCAACCCTAGGAAACCACTGATATTCTTCCTGTCTATGTAAACTTACATTTTCCAGACATTTTATGTAAATGGACTCATAGACCATGTAGTCTTTTGTGTCACTGGCAGTTTTTAAGTTATGTCCTGCACTGGAGATCCTGTTAGAATCTATGAGGATGCCAAATTTCCTTACTTAGTATGTCAAATGTGGTAAAGGCCACTCTCCCACACATAACTCTAGTATAATATTCAACTAAATAAGTTCCTTCACTTATCCCATGTTGTTCTGACATTCCTCGCTCCAGCGGCCTCAAATGGCAGCAGAAGGGGAATTGTCCATGCGTCTGTCTCCTGCATCAGATGGTGAGCTACTTTTAGGACTCACACCATCTTTTTCACCTTTGTACATTTATATCAAAAACATCCATCACAGTATCTTACTGAGCACAAAGTAGATGGTCTGAAAATATCTGAAACTGTTGAATTATATCAGTATCTACTAAAAGATCTCTATTGCTTTTCTGATTCTGTATTGTAATCATTTAATCTCAATCAAAAATCTCATATCTCGCTATTTTATCTCTTGAATATGTGTTATAAACAGTAATGGTATGATCTTTTTGCCTGGACTTGCCCTGAAACCTGCCAGTCTTGGCCCAGCTTTGTTATAGTTTGCATGGGAAAATCAAGTTTCTGAGATTATAGCAGATTCAATTAGTGGTGCTGGTAAGGGTCATTCCAAGGCAAGGCAGAAGCTTAAGAAAACAGGTAGCATCTGATCTGGGGGAAATCTCATTGCTTCGTGAGACAAGGGTCTCCTGATGTTCTGTATCTACAGGTTGAGGTGAGGGTACCTGATAGCATAAGGGATGCAGTATGTTTTGGTAAAGAAGGAAAAGGAGAGGCAAAGACCTTTCAGAACTTCTATTTACTATATCAGAAAGGACTACAGAATTATAATGACAAACTTTGTAAAATTCTGAACTTTTGATCCTTTTCCTACATGTTATACTTTATCCTCTCTTCAGCACAGAGAGTAAAATTCATAGAAAAGAAAGAAATATGAGCTTATCTTCAGGGTTTGGTTTGGGGTGGGCAGGTAAAGAAGATGTCAGTTGGTTTCCCCATCCACAATTAGGCTTTGGGTGGGAAGGAAGCCCTCCAGGGACTGAAGGGGGAGTGGTAGCTAAAAGAAGAGAGGGGAGATGGCTGAGTTCCTGAGGCCGGCTACAATGGTGAAGGGCTTGGAGGCTGATGTGTGTTTCAGAAACAGTGTCAGGAGAAGGTTTCTTCTGGGAGATTGGTAACCCTGTTAGTTTAAGTTCCATGTTGGCTTAACCTAATGAATCTGGCTTTTTTCACTGTGCAGAATGTGAAGGCAGTGTCTGAGACCCCCGCAGTGCCACCAGTTTCAGAAGATGAAGATGATGATGATGATGCTACCCCACCTCCAGTGATTGCTCCACGCCCAGAGCACACAAAATCTGTAAGTTTTTGTGATTTATTAGAGTTTGGAGGTGGGGAGTAAGGGATGGGTGCCAAGGTCTGGAAGTTTAATTCTCTGGTAGGGGTCCTTAGATTTTGGAGGTGGTGAAATAACCAAATTACCTTGATTGAAGGGTACTTTCTGTATGATTAAAGACAGGAAGTGGTGTATTTATTTATCATTGGTTTGCAGATAGTCCCAAAGTGTCCTAAATAGTTGGTCTTTGTACCAACTTAGCCTTACTTTCTTTACAGACAGGAAGATATACAGAATTAATGTTACTTAGTGTAGAAGTAACATAAATTGTTCCAGTCTCCTAGGAAGCAACAAATTAGCCTGCTGTAGATCTTTTCTTCTCTGTTAAATGTCCAGTGTTCAGGCTTTTAAGACATCATTGATAATACTGAAAGACTCAAGAGAATTTGTAAAAACATTAGTGCTATTAATATCCTGGACATCAGGAGTGCATTTTGATGCTGGATATTGGCAGTGATTTTTATTTAACTTCCTTTGAGGTTCTTGTATTTCATAATAGCCATGGTCCCTTTGCCCTCACTTTGCATAATCTGCATTTTACATGATTTAGCATCACTGAGCACTGATGTATCATTAGATGATACTCTACTAGTGTTTCTTTGTTTGGACTTTTTATTATGACAAGAATTTCAGAATGAAAGAATGATTTAAAACTTAAACTCTGTGGTAATATAAAAAAGATTGTCTCTGACCTAGAGAATTCATGGAAGTATTCAAGCAGACGTTGGTTGACTGAGTATGGGAGATGCTGTGGAGGCAATTCAAGGGGATTGTGACATTTTAGAATTATAATTTATAAGCAGAATCTGTAGAATCACTGCTTGTGTAGGTTACAAAGTCACTTTAAGGAAAATGAGCTTCAGAATCAGAGAGTTGTCCAGAGATGTCACATTGGAAAGGTTTTTCTTGATTTGCAAGCATGTTCATTTAAAAAAATTTTCCCATTAAACCATGAATTCATTAGAAGTAGAGGAAATATATATGTGTGTCTGTGTATGTATATGTAGAGGATATATATGTGTGTCTGTGTAGGTAAATGTGTGTGTATATATATACACACACACATAACACACACATATGTGTGTGTTTGCAGTGCTTAACATAGTTCTTGAAAGGTTTTAGAAAGGCAGTATTGAATGAACTGATAAATTTGATCTTCATAGTATTCCTTTCTAAAAAGATAATGTTAATTCCTAATTTGTAGAAGAAGTTGAGATTTGGAGAGGTAAATTGATCTATACAAAGTCTCTAAGCAAAATAGCCAAAACTGAAAGCCGGTGATTGACCCCAGGTCCAGGTTATATTCCAGCATAGCACAGTGGCCTTTTTTATATGAGCAGATCTGTGTTGGGAACCAGAAAAAGAGAATGTTAGAGAGGGAAAAGGCAGGGTTCTTCCCCCCAAGGAGCCATGTCAGAACTAAAGGAGGACAAGGCATGAAATTCATGTTTAGGTGCCAGGGATATAGTTTGTTTACATGTACAAGAAATTCAAAAGAGCAAAATGGCTGTCTGAGGAGGCCTTACAAATAACTGTGAAAAGAAGGGAAGTGAAAAGCAAAGGAGAAAAGGAAAGATATTCCTGTTTAAATGCAGAGTTTCAAAGAATAGCAAGGAGCGATAAGAAAGCCTTCCTCAGTGATCAATGCAAAGAAATAGAGGAAAACAATAGAATGGGAAAGACTAGAGATCTCGTCAAAAAAATCAGAGATACCAGGGGAACATTTCATGCAAAGATGGGCACAATAAAGGACAGAAATGGTATGGACCTAACAGAAGCAGAAGATATTAAGAAGAGGTGGCAAGAATACACAGAAGAACTGTACAAAAAAGNGAAGCACAAGCTGGAATCAAGATTGCCAGGAGAAATATCAGTAACCTCTGATATGCAGATGATACCACCCTTATGGCAGAAAATGAAGAACTAAAGAGCCTCTTGATGAAAGTGAAAGAGGAGAGTGAAACAGTTGGCTTAAAGCTCAACATTCAGAAAACAAAAATCATGGTATCCAGTTCCATCACTTCATGGCAAATAGATGGGGAAACAGTGGAAACTGTGGCTGACTTTATTTTTCTGGGCTCCAAAATCACTGCTGATGGTGATTGCAGCCATGAAATTAAAAGACGCTTACTCATTGGAAGAAAAGTTATGAGCAACCTAGACAGCATATTAAAAAGCAGAGACATTACTTTGTCCACAAAGGTCCATCTAGTCAAGACTATGGTTTTTCCAATGGTTATGTGTGGATGTGAGAGTTGGACTATAAAGAAAGCTGAGTGCTGAAGAATTGATGCTTTTGAACTGTGGTGCTGGAGAAGACTCGAGAGTCCCTTGGACTGCAAGGAGATCCAACCAGTCCATCCTAAAGGAGATCAGTCCTGGGTGTTCATTGGTAGGAGTGATTTTGAGGCTGCAACTCCAGTACTTTGGTCACCTGATGCGAAGAGCTGACTCAGTTGAATGAAAAGACCCTGATGCTGGGAAAGATTGAAGGCAGGAGGAGAAGGGGACGACAGAGGATGAGAAGGTTGGATGGCATCATCTACTCAATGGACATGGGTTTGGGTGGACTCTGGGAATTGGTGATGGACAGGGAGGCCTGGCATGCTGCGGTTCATGGGTTCACAAAGAGTCAGACACGACTGAATGACTGACCTGACAAGAATAGAATATTAAGAAATCACTATCCTGGAGTGATATAGCAATATCCTGCTATTTCTACTAGCACTAAGTTAGTGGAATGTTCTCTTCCATTTCTGCCTATTATAACCATGTCCATCCTTCAAGATCTAGCTGAAGAACCCCATTTATTTGTTCAGTGATTCATGAAACTTTTACCTGAATGCTTACTTTTTGTTAGAAGACTGGTTAGATATAGATGTACAGTGATGAACGACACAGATTCTCTATCTTCATAGAGCTTTTAGACTAACCCAAAAATTTTTGTGATGTTTTTCTGAAAAAAGTGATAAATGCCTTGAAGCATCTCTTGCGGAAGGGTGGTAGAACATGTAATCACTTCTTCTGAACCTCAGTAGTATATAGATTGTTCTTTTTTTCTGATATTTGTCCTTTTCTGCCTTGCAGTTAGGACTTTCTCCAAGACTTCCTTCACAGAAATAGTGGATGGGGCAGCATTTTGTACAGCAAGGCAGAGAACAGATTCTCATTAAATGCTTATTAAGTAAATCAATGGATAGGTAGTATAATAATATTAGCTGAAATTTGAAAGCTTAATGTCTCCTGAATGTGATGCTGCTTATTTCACCCATTAATTAGTTTATTTATGGTTTATTAGCAACTCTATAAGTATCACTAACATCGCTATTTTACAGACAAGGAAACTAAAGCATAGAAAAGTTAAGTAATCTGCCCAAAGTCATACAAATGGTAAGAATAAGATTTGGAATTTAAGTCCAGGCAGGCAGGTTCCAGAGTCTGTAATCTAAATAACTATATCCTATGGCCTCTTAAAGAAGAACAATTGCAGTTTTTTTCTCTGTGAGCATTCAGGATTTAAAGAGGGAGTAACTCAAATGAAGGTAATATTCAGTGTTGTGTTAGCAGTGAAAAGTACTGTAGGAATACAGGATATTCATTTCAGCTTGGGAAAAAACAGAATATTACAGATGAAGGGGTTTCCCATCTAATGATAGGGTGTCCTTTAAACTCTTTATAGTGAGAGTTGTGTAGCTTCTATTGATTATCTTAAGTGCTCAGACTCTCACTAACCCTTATTGTAAAAAGTTGAGAGCAAGGAAGATCATTCCATTCTCAAAGCCTGGGCGTAGAGGAAAAGTATCATAGATTTTGACCTAGGAGAAGAGATCAGTTTACTGAGATTTGTTCTTCTTTGGATGTTCTAACACATAAATCTAAGAGAGACTGGCCTCACCAAATGTTTGCACCAACAATGCAGGTATACACACGGTCTGTGATTGAACCACTTCCTATTACTCCAACTCGGGATGTGGCTACATCTCCCATTTCACCTACTGAGAATAGTATCACTCCACCTGATGCTCTGACCCGGAATACTGAGAAGCAGAAGAAGAAGCCTAAGATGTCCGATGAGGAGATCTTGGAGAAATTACGTAAGCACTTAGTAGGTTTTTTAATTTCCCTCTGGTATGTGACTGGTTGAGCACAAAGAGCATTCTGTTGCTATAAAGATCTAGGTCCTATGCTAGGTGTATGTCAGTGGAGGCTGTGCTTTATATCTTGCCAGACTGTGCCTCTTTTCATCTGTCCCTACAGCTACATCCTCTGTCTCACCAGCCCTGATTAGATGCTACATTAGGATGGGAATGTGATGAGAGAGTATGTGAATAGCACACTTCAGAGGCTGGGAAGCACTTGGAATCCATAAGCCATGGAATCACAGGCATGGCTTATGGAGATGACAAATAGCTTTTACTTATGATATAATCTGAAAGGTATGTTGAGAAAGACTGAGGCCTTGTCTAAACCTGGTGAGGAAGGGTGCTGTGTTGATTATTGATGTTTCTGTTGGCAGAAGACGGATCTGCCATTTGGTTGTATGAAAAGAAGGAAGGGAAACTAATGTTTTGTGAGCCTGCAATACGTACTAAATGAACATTTATTCCTCATTTTAGGGCTGTGAAGACAGACATTATAATCCTTATTTTTTTCAGTTATTTGAGTCTAGGAATGCTAATACTCTGCAAAAATTTATGCAGCCAAAAACTGACAGATATGGGATTAGCATGCAGCTTGTGCTCCTGTAATCAGAGCATGCTATTTCTTGCAGTCAGGTGGGAACTCCATTTTGCTTTCTTTAGTGATGAGAAGTATTAGGGCAGCTTGTTTCTCTTTTTCAGTAATCTGCAGGAGAATTCATATGAGAAGAAAGGAATGGGTTGGCCTGTAGGCTTGAAAAAATCATCTGACAAGGCTTTTGATTTATTCTTCTAAGGAGGATTTGATGTGACTGATCTGGCAAAGTCTGCCCAGTGGCATTGCTTTCTAAAGCTGAGGTTTCTGATTCCTCAGCTTAGCGGCTTTTGATTTCATCCTGATAATTCTTATTTGACTTTTAAAAAATTTTCACTCTTTCCGAAGTTGCCCTTGCCCAGTGTTAGTTGCTCAGTCATATCCAACTTTTTGCAATCCCATGGACCGTAGCCCAGCAGACTCTTCTGTCCATTCTCCAGGGAAGAGTATGGAGTGAGTAGCCATTCCCTTCTCCATGGGATCTTCCTGCCCCCAGGATGGGACCCTAGTTTTCAGCATTGCAGATGGATTTCTTTAATGTCTGAGCCACCAGGGAAGCCTCACCCTTATCCAGAGCCCTTATGAGATGATGAAATAAGAAAAGCCACTTACCTTGGCATCTATATACTCTTGTATGTATTCTTTTTCTCTGAATCAGATTTTTTTTTTAGAAACAGCAATACTTAGAACATAGAATTATGCAAAAACAGATCAGCCTGAGAGTTAAGGACCCTTGGGTTGAAGCCCTAGCACAGTCATTAACTTGGGTCTTGGGCAATTTTCTACTGTTCCTTGGCCCTCCTTTTTCTCATCTTTTAAATAGGAATGTTAATACCTGTCTCATTTGTAAATCAAATGAGATAATGTATTTGAAGAGTATCAAATCCTAGTAATTGATATTATTGGAAAGTGCTTTGGACTGGGAGACCAAACCTGGAACTCCTAATCTTAACTCTGACACCAGTTTGCTGTGTGACCTTGAGGGGAAGTATCTTCCCTTTGGTTGGGCTCAGTTTTACCATCTCCAGAACACTTTTTATTTGGAACTATGAACTTTCTCATACCTCTGTGTTTTTGCACTTGAAATACTTTCTGTTGTAACCCCTTCTTGACTTTCTCTCCCTGGCAAATTCCTCCTAACCCTGTAAAAATTAGTGCAGATTCATTTCCCTTCTGAGGCCTTTCTGGTGTATATTTTTGCTTCTTTCTGTATCACAGCAATTATTATATGTTCATGGAACTTAATACATGGTGTCTGGTTCCTGTATGAGATTACAGCTTCTTGAGTGCAGAGACTGCCTTAACTGGGTCTCATCTGTCTCTTCATTTGTTGCACTCAACCTAGGGCTTAGTGCATAATAAGTGAGCATATTAAAATGAGTAAATGTTTATTGAATTGATGAACTTAAAAATGAATGAATAACTTTTAGGAGATTAGAAGTGGATTAGGGTACTATTAATAAGAGTGGTAAGGAGGTGAAATTTTTGGTTGAACCTTAAGAGGGAAAGCCAAGCGCCTTAGTGTGGTTTTGGGGTATTGGAGATAGTTTTTTAATCTTTGCTGGCTCAGAGTTGGGGGAACATGGAGCTTGTTTTGTATTGTTGATCTGGGAAAAACTTATGTTCTTTATGTTATGTTATGTTATGTTCTTTATGTTATGTTATTTATGTTCTCTGTTTCTTTCAAAGGGAGCATAGTGAGTGTGGGCGATCCTAAGAAGAAATACACACGGTTTGAGAAGATTGGACAAGGGTTAGTAGGCACCTTTTGTTTCCCTAGAAAAGTGACTTAAAATTATGTGTGCTGATATATATAATTTTGCTTTTGCTTTGCCTCTTATAAACCTTTTTCTTCATTTTCCACCTCACCCCTCACCCATCAAAAGGTGTTTTATTAGGCTGATCTCAGGTTTCCAGAATTATGTTTTAATATGTGAGATGTGCAATTAGCTGACATTGTTGCTAAAAATATCCCTGCACTGAGAGTGCAAAAACCATTTATTTTCTTACTACAAAAACCTTCTTCCCAAATTATAGCTCTGCTTTTCCATATTAACCTTGTTTACCTGGTGCTGAGACTTACCAGCACTAATATGAAATGGAAGACAGAACTTACAGACTCTTCTGCTAGTATAATGGGCCCTGTTTTTCTAGTGGATGACAGAAATCATATCTCTTACTCTCTGGTTCCTTTTCTACATCTTGTATTCTGACCTCAATGTATTGATTCAGCAAAGCTTAGCTGGATCTCTGTTAGATACTAGGTGCCATGGGTACAGCTATGAATCGAACCGTGTCTGCTTTCAGAGAGACCCTCATATCTACAGAAGGAGATAGACAGTCAAACAAAATATTATAATATACTGTGATAAGTCTTAAAAGTGTTTTTAAGCAAGAGAAGCCAGATATAAAAGAGCAAATACTGTGTGATTTTTTTATATGGACTTAAAGAACAGGCAGAAGTAATACATGCTAGTGTAAGTCAGAATAATGGTTGTGTCTGGGAGGATTAGGAAGTAGCATGAGGGAACCTTGAGGGGTTGATAGTGAACATGTAGGTGTGTACATATTGAAAAATCAATCATCAGGTTGTATACTTGAGATTTGTGCAGATTAGTTTAGGTATGTTATGCCTTTATATAAAAAAGAAAAAGAATGAGATTTCTATAGAGATACCCAATTAGCTAAAATTAAAAAGAAACTGAAAAAAGTATCTGGCTTGTAGAAAGCTCTCAGTGTTACATGAATGAAAACATTATTGTTAATGTAGACCACCAGCCTGAGGTGCTGGTCTGCAGAGTAGGACCCCAGGCAAGGGAGCCTTCTAAAGTCATTGAAGCTTTCTGTTTTTTCTTTCCTTTTAAATTTTTGATGCGCCAGGGCATCAGAAATTGTGGCACCGTAGTTGTGGCACACGGGATCTTCCTTGCAGCATGTGGGATTTTTAGGTGCGGTAGGGTGGCTTCTCTCTGGTTGTGTTGTGCAGTCTCTAGAGTGTGTGGGCTCTGTAGTTGTGGTGCATGGGCTTCATAGTTTTTAGTACATGGGCTCTCTAGCTGAGGCATGTGGGCTTAGTTACCCTGTGACATGTGGGATCTCAATTCCGCAGCCAGGGATCAAACCTGAATCCCCTGCATTGGAGGGTGGATTTTTAACCACTGGAATGCGAGGGAATTCCTCAGTTTTCTTTCTTATGTACCGAAGAACTTCTGAAATAAGATAAAGTAATGCATAGTATACTGGTGGTGTATTTATACAGTATTCTATAGCTTACAACTGTTATTTGCATCTGTTGTTCAATTTAATCCTCAAAATAGTCCTGGACTTGAGTGGATCTCCTTTTTCCCTGGTTCAGTGCTTCTGCTATTAGACATGCTTTTGTGAGTCTGACCTAATATAAGGTAGTTAACACATTGAGAAGACATTATTTTCCTCGCCTCTGAGTAATCTGGGATGGTCTTTTCTTTAGCTAATTACACTGAGATACTAAGAATGTAGAAGAAAGGTACACAGACAAGTGTGGTAAGTCAGGTCCTATCTTTGGACATCAGTTTCTTCACTTAAGGGAGAGGGATTGTGGATTCAGGGTCTTTCACCTCCCAAACTGCTGATTATATATCTTATATATATGCATATGCAGATGTATGTGGCCCATAAATAGGCAGTATCTGCAAAAGGTTTGTCCTTGCTTCCTTGACAGGTCTGCTAGTGCTAAGAGAAGAATGCGGAACTTATGAAGCACCTGTGCTGATGTCGCCACATTCCATTATTTTAAAACTATACACGGAGTACTTCCCTGGTGGTCCAGTTGTTAACACTTAGCCTTTCAATGGAGGGGTGCAGGTTCGATACCGCACCCCTGGTTGCAGTTGGGGAAATAAGATCCCACATTTCTCAGGGCCAAAAAACAAAACAAAACAGAAACAATATTGTAACAAATTCAATAAAGACTTTAAAAATAATCCACCTAAAAAGTTCTTAGAAGAAACAAGATGCAGGGTAGGTGAATGTAGAGAACCTCTCTCTCCATGGATACGTCAGGAATACACCTTCAGACACAGAAGTGCATGCAGAATACCAGCTGAGAGTGGACAGGAGTACCTGACCAGTGGAAGGAATATATAGAACCATGCAAAACTCGGTAGGATGAAGCAACTAGGGGGATAAACAGGAATGTTAGTAGGACTGGACCTTTGGCCAGTGGGGGAACTGAAGCAGGGGTCCAGTCCCCACATCGGGGCAATTGTCTGAGCCAGAGGAGAAACATTTAAGGCTGAGAGTGAAACAGCTGATCTGTGGCAGCCTAAATGAAATGAGAATCAGACAGTCCTTGCTGCAGCCATCCTGGACAGGGATGCAGGTCCCCTGGAAGGCGCAGTGGCTGGGAGTTGTTTAGGGATTGTGGAGCAATCCCAGGATGAGGGCTGCTGTTGAGAGGGCTGGAGAGAGACAGATGGAGGGGATGTGAGGGAGAAGATTGTGGTGGGAAATGCTGGTGGAGGAAAGCCAGACAGCCGTGGAAGCAAGGTGATACTGCTGAGTCACTCATAGAGGGGTGGGGCCATCACCATAGCTTCTCTCTCTACACACGCCAACATCAGCTGCTGAACAGTAGAGAGGCTGACCCGTCAAATGCCTAACACACTGAGCTACAGAGCAGGACCCCACCCAGGTGCCCTTTAAGTGCCTGATGTGCTGGTCTACAGAGCAGGACCCCACCCAGGGTGCCCCTTTAAGTGCCTGGTGTGGGGTGCCCCTTTAAGTGCCTGATGTGCTGGTCTACAGAGCAGGACCCCACCCAGGGTGGCCCTATAAGTGCCTGACGTGCTGGTCTACAGAGCAGGACCCCACCCAGGTGCCCTTTAAGTGCCTGACATGCTGGTCTACAGAGCAGGACCCCACCCAGAGTGCCCCTTTAAGTGCCTGACGTGCTGGTCTACAGAGCAGAGCCCCACCCAGGGTGCCCTTTTAAGTGCCTGACATGCTGGTCTACAGAGCAGGACCCCAGGAAAGGGAGCCTTCTAAGTGCCTGAATGGGTGGAGCTACAGAGAAGACGGGCTTAAGAGGCCTTCTGATCACCAGCTGCAAGAGGCTCGAAAAAAGACTGATAGGGCCATAACACCTGCAGCAGAGGCAGTCTGTATCCCTGCACACTTGGCACTGCCAGGGTCCCCAAAAGCCAAGCAACTGGGTCACCTTCACGCCCAACTCTCGCTGGGGCAGAGCTGCCACAGGCAAAAAAAGTCTTGCATCTAATGCGCTCAGGATCGCTTTGGTAGTGTTTGACTCTTTGCGACCCTGTAATCTGTGGCCTGTCAGGCTTCTCTGTTAGGGAGGGGGGTTCTACAGGCAAGAATACTGGAGCTTATTGGCCAATACTGGTTGCCATACCCTTCTAGAGCACTATATTTCCTGCTGCCCTAGCCACCAACTCCCCTGAGTACTTGGTGCAGCCAGAACCCCTGCAACCCGAGCAGCTCACCACCTCCACACCTGGCCCTCACGGGCAAGCCCAAGTCCTTCAGAGCAGCCTCAGGAGCAAACCCCAGTGGACGACCCACATGTAAAGGTGGAAATAAACCCACAGTTGAAACCCAGGGGAAAAATGTGGCTAAGGAAGAAGACCCCAAACCTTCCCACCAGCTGTTCAAGCTGCAGATTAAATCCACAGGGTCAACTAGGCAGACTCTGTGTCCGTGGAATATATAAAAGGTCATTGAGAGCTCCCACGGAAGAAAGCGGTCTAGTTCTGATGGCTGTGGACATTGGAGGCAAGGACACACAGGAGCAGGACCAGATTAGAATCTGAGCCTCCCCCACAGCAGGTCCAGAGATCAGTACAGTGTTGGAGGGCATCCTAGGAAGCCTGTGACTCTTAGTGAGGGAAAGGACTCTGACAGCAGTGACTCAAGAAAAACACTCATTATTCTTATGTTTTGACTTGTTCTGTAAATTCTTTTGGATTTTTTTCTCTTTTTTCCCCCTCTGTTGTTGTTGATTTTGTTGGCACTATGATATTAAGCTTTTGAGCTTCTTTTTTTTTTCCTCAGTGACATTTTTTATTGTTGTTATAAACCTCTGTCTCGACCTTGGGCTTTTGCAGTTCTGTGGAGTTTTCCATTTTTTTCTTTTCTCTTTTTTTAATTTTAATTTTTAATTTTTTAAAAATATTTTTTTCTATATTTATTCCTTTGTTTGCTTTTCCTACTGTTCTTTTCCCCTTGCAGTTAATCTTTAATGTATATAAATCTTCTTTATCAACCTCTATTTAACTTTACATATCTATTCTTTCCTTTTCCTCTCAATATATTTGTTAGTTTTATTTTCATTGCTTTATTCCCCAATTGGCAACTTGCTTTAGTTTTGTTTTCCAGTTTGTACTTTAGTTAGTTTTGTTCTCGTAGATGTAATTTTGAGTCCTTTGTTTGCCAGGTTAATCTATTATACTTTATTTTTGTTGGATTGTTTTGATTTTGCTTATGGGTATATATGTATATGTGTATATTCAGTCACACTTTTTTTTAATCCTTAAATTTTTATTGGAATATAGGTGTTGTAATTACAATGTTCTCCTGTATAGCACAGTGAATCAGTTATACATATATTCACTTTTATGTTTTTTTTTAATTGAAGGATAATTGCTTTACAGAATTTTGTGATTTTCTGTCATGCATCACCAAGAATCAGCCATAGGTATATCCATGTCCCCTCCCTCCCAGACCTCCCTTCCATGTCCCTCCCCACCCCACCCT